CTAGGAAACAGCTGGATTCCAGAGGTAGGAATCTCTTGGTCCTTCCATTGGGAGTAGTCTAAGAGGGAATAAGAATAGACAGTCCTCAGAAGCTCTTCCATGGGTGCTATAGTGTTCTACCTTCTCCCACACAACCTGTGCCTGTTCTCAGATCAGCCGGTGAGGAAGCTGCTGCTGGCATTCTGTCCAACACGTGAGAGCAGGTGCAGCTGTGTGTTCAGGTCCCTGTGTGGGCCTGGGTTGTGGCCCCCAGCATTTTGAGTTCCTAGAGTTCCTCCTTCCTCTTGGGTTTGCTCCATCTGTTTACCTGAGAGATGGAACTGGAGTCTGGAGACTGAAGCTCACATGATTGGCGCCTATTTAAACCACCCATATAAACTCAGGGGTACCGCAGGGTACCACGGAGGATCCGTGCAGGGACTGCACCTCTCTCAAGAGTGCTGCCAAGGGGCTTCCTAGACAGGGTGGAAGTCAGCTAAGGTGACCTTAGGCTACCCATCTCTCCCTGAGGAGCTAACAAAACGCCACCATGGACTTTAGCCTTGTCTATCTGTGCTGGAAGTGCCCCGGGCATGGGGAGAGGTTGACCAGGCTGGAGGAAAAAAAAAAAAAAACCACTAGCTCCAATCCCACATGATGGATGAGAGATGTTCCCAGCCCTCCTTCATCATCTCCAGCCTGAGGGGAAAGAGGTCCCTAGAAGCCTATATAGAAAGGGCAAGGATGGAAACAGGGTAGATAATAGGAAAGAGGAGTAGGTGGAGGAGGGTATGGTCACCCAGACATGAATGGAAATAGGAATGCACCCCTTAAGGAAGAGACAAAATCGGGGGGTCCTTCACTGTTGTCAGGCTCACCCACCTACCCTTCCTACCTCAGCAGTGCATACTCAGTTGCAGGAGCTGGTGACCCTTCCCACCTCAGTAGGCTTGTCCTGCTTCACTCTGTGCCCCGCCTGATCAAAGCATCCTGCAGCGGCCACAGTAGCCTCTTCTCGACTGTGAACTCAGCCCTTAGATGCTTTTCTGTAAGTACATCAGGTTGGCCATGCAAACTTGATGTTGAGGAGGTTTGAATGGGGATGGCACCATAGGCTTGTTGATTTGAATGTTTGGTTCCCAGTTTGGGGAAGGATTAGGAGGTGTGGCCTTGCTGGGTAAAGTTTCAAAGGCCCAGTCTTCCTTCTCTCTCTCTCTCTCTCTCTCTCTCTCTCTCTTTCTCTCTCTCTCTCTCNGCCATGCAAACTTGATGTTGAGGAGGTTTGAATGGGGATGGCACCATAGGCTTGTTGATTTGAATGTTTGGTTCCCAGTTTGGGGAAGGATTAGGACATGAGCTTGACTGTGGCTTAGTTTCAAATGGCCAGTCTTCCTTCTCTCTCTCTCTCTCTCTCTCTCTCTCTCTCTTTCTCTCTCTCTCTCTCCCCCCCCCCCCCGACTTTTGGATGTGAGTGAGCTCTCAGCTACTGCTCCAGCACCATGTCTGCCTGCTGCCATGCTCCCCACCATAGTTGTCTGGACTCACCCTCTGAAACTGCAAGCCAGCCCCCAATTAAATGCTTTCTTCTATAAACTGCCTTGGTCATGGTTTCTCTTCAAAGAACTAGAACAGTGACTAAGACAGATGTCATCATTCCTATTTTGTGCATGAGATGACCAGAGAAGGGAAGTGACTAGCCCACTGTCACACAGCTCTATAATCACAAGGTCTCTGGGACAAATTTGGAAACTCTTGACCTGGAAATAGAAACTCAGTCTCTTGACCTTAGGTGCTTCCCTATCTACTCTACCCACACTGAGCTGCCGGGGGGGGGGGGGGGCTGGCACGTTTTTCTCAGCCACTTTTTACATCTTCAACAACACCCAGTTGGTGCTTAGTAAATATTGATGGAAATGACTCAGGGGTGAATAAATGGAAAACTGCATTAGGAGGAACTGGAGTCTATAAATATGCTCGTGGGCACCACATTGCCAGGGCTGATGCTGACAATCCTGGGGAACCGAGCATTCATTCAACAAACTTTTTAAATGCTTATTGAAAAATCTGCCACATGCCAAGCAGGGGGTGAGGAGCTGGAGGTGCATGAGGAGCAGAGCCTTGCTGTCCCCTGACCTCAAAGAGTTACAGAAAAGGAAGACCAAAAGCCAACAGCAGCAAGATTGATTGCAAAGAAAGAGACAGGAAGAAATTATCAAAAAGTGACCAGGGCTGGGGGCAGAGCCCAAAAGTGCCAGCACTGCTCAGCAAGTGTCAAGGCCTGGAATCCACCTCCAGTACCGAAGGAGGAAGGAGAGGAGGAAAAGGTGGTGAGGAGGAGGGAGAGAAAGGGAATGGATGAGAGGAGGAAGAGGAGCAAACAGCAGGAAGAAGGTGAAGGAGGAGGAAGAAAAGGCAGAGGAAGGGATTGGAGGGGGTGAAGGCACAATATGGACTTTGAGAGAAAAGATATGATTGGACGGTAAGATCCAGGGACGTGTGTGTGTGTGTGTGTGTCTGTGTGTGTCTGTGTGTGTCTGTGTCTGTGTGTGTGTCAGTGTGTGTCTGTGCATGTACATGAGTACACACTTACACTCTCCACAGCATGTGTGCAGAGGTCAAAGACAAAGTCTGTGAGCAAACTCCTTCCGCGTTTACATGGGTTCCAGGATTGAACTCAGGTCACCAGGCTATGAGTCAGGTGCCTTTACCCACAAAGCCATCTCGATGATCCTCAAATAAAAAACTATCTTAAGTTGAGTAGAAGTCACCGAGGCATAAAGTTGGGGGAAAGCATTTGGGGCAGGAGGACTGTCATGTGTTATGTTGACACCTTAAGAGGAACAAGAGCTTGGCACCTTCAAATGCCAACCATAAAAACAGTGTGGCCAGAGCAGAGTGGGGAGATGGGAAGAAGTAAGGAGGGGTTAGGGCCCAACAAACGCAGAGCATTGTTGTGTTTGGGGTTCAAGCCTAATTCAGCGGGAAGCCTTTGAAAAATAGGAGGCAGGGAGATGAGCCACTTCGGTCTCTTCCTGTTGAGTGGACAATGAGAAGACATGGCAGATGCTGGAGGAGGCAGAGCCTCCTGATTCCAGCCTTCTCAAGTCTCCCAGATGGAGCCACTGAGATCTGAGGTCTCTCCTGCAAGCACGCTATTGAACAGGCAGTGGCATCGTCCCCCAAGGAGGAAAGTCTGTGTGGATGTGTCAGGTGGGTATGATCGTAATCTCTCACCCGCCTTTATTGGTAATATGATTTGAGGCAGCTCACCCACCCTTGTCGGGAACATAGATACAGTAGAGCCCCCCCCTGAGAGGTAGTTATCACACAGGCCATGCACAGAGCTGAAACTCTCCCAAGCAAGCCGCTCTTCCTCAGCCACCTCCAGATACAGTCTGACCTCCCTCTGCCTCCTGATTTCTGACCTCTGTGGTGTCAGGAAACACTTTCAAGAAAATGAACTTGGTTGGGAAGATGACTCACTTGGTAAAGTGCTTACCACGCAAGCATAAGAATCTGAGTTCTAACCCTAGCACCCACGCACAGAAAGGTACAATGCTGGGGAGATGGAGACGGGGGGAATCCCTGGAGCTCTCTGGTCAGTCAGTCAAGCTGAATCAGGAGCTCTAGGCCAATAGGTGACCTTACCTCAAAAAAAAAAAAAAAAAGCGTAAAGAACAAAGGAAGACATTCAACATTGACCTTTGGCCTTTACATGCATGGGTATACCTATGCATGCATGCCTCCTGGACACACGTGCATGAACACACATGTGCACACAAACACACTCACATGCACACACGAAATAAACTCCTCTCACATTCTGTGTGCCAAGGGAAAAGTGTGCATAGCCCCCACCACCTACCAGTCTTATACCACAAACACCCTGTGCCACCTACTAGAGGCTCTAGTCACTTTAGCGGTATCTCAATTGCCAGTCCCTGGGCACCTTTGGGCACAGAGCCAAATCAGTGGGTCGCTATTGTTTTCTTGAGTCACTGAAAACACAAGTCAATTACTTAGCCCTAATAAGACCTTCTTATCACGTGATAGAAGCCACTGAGCCTGAAATGAGCTCAACCTTAAGGCCACCCAGGCTGCCTCCCGGGACAGGTACTCCAACAGCCAGGAGGTGCCACATGAGCCCTGGCACCGGAGCCTTGCACAACAGATGTTACCACCTTCAGCGCTGGCCAGATCAAGACAGTAACACCCTGGACGTTAATCCCTGGATCCTTTCCAGGCAGCAGGGACTGGCTATGTGCTGTGCTGTTAATGACATGGGTCCTCTAGAGGGGTTGTGAAAGGGTCTTAAATTCCAGGCCCAACTTCTCCCCACACCTATTCAAGACCTGAGATTTTTCCAGTCTTTCATCACTGGGAATGCCTGCCCTTGTCACTAAGACTTGCTGGTACAACCGAAACCCAGAAAATGAAATGTCTTACTCAAGGAACTAAAACACATCAGCAGGAGTCAATTGAATACAAATGTACTCGGAGCTTGGGGTCTCATTAAGTACACGCTAAGCTCCTCAAGAGTCAGAGAGTCAGCACAGCCATAAATGACTAGTCTCCGTTCAAATCCCGTATGCCAGCTGTGACCCGTACCCCAACACCTCATGTTCAAAGGTGGGGTGCCCAGTTTGCACTACAGGGAACCGAGGTGTGCTAATGTCTGGCTCCTCCATGTACCAAACACCTCGAGTTACCTCTCCTCCTCTGCTCAGACTGGGTAAGCTGGTGACCGAGGAGACTGGCTGGCCTGCAGACGGTGGAGGGCTTCTCTGGGGCAGCTGAGTTAATAGAGAAACAGAAGCGTTAATAGAGAAAAGGAGGTGGGTGTGAACCTGGCAGAGGTGTCTATGGAGCGGGAAGAAGGTGCTCAGAGAGGGCAATGGAGGGCACAGTGGTACCCCAGCATGTGAGCCGAGAGTTGGGGGATAGCATGGGTTGAGAGCAGATTGAGGTTGGGGCAGGGAGCCGGCTTGTAAGTTCAGGTCTTTTTTTTTTTTTTTTTAACAGAACTTGCCTCAAGTTTATTTGTAAAAACAGCATTAGGTCCTGAACATCTGCAAATACTGTGTAGGTGTTCACACCAGTCCATCTGTCTTCACATCGGCAGACTGAGACCTTTTTTATGGGGCCTTCACAGGGGCCTGGGCACCTTTAGGCCTCTGCCTTGGCTTGAACCTTGGGCTTTGTTTTTTGGAGCCTACGACCCCTGGCCATGTAGTTTCTAATCCGCTTCCCAAGCTTGGGGTGAGCAATTAAAGCCAGACGAGTGAGTTTGCGGGTGGGACCCTTTGGCACCTTGGGCTTCACCACCTGGGGCTTCACCAGGGCCTTGATGGCCTCTGCACGTGCACTCATGGCCTTTGCATTATTTGCCTGCATCTTCTTCAGGCCTTTCTTGTTGTGCTTCTTGGCAAAGCGCATGTTCCTCAGGAACTTGGGGTCAACCCCCTTGAGAGATTCATATCTTTGTGACCGGGGTTTCTTGATGCCATTTCTGTGCCATTTCCGGGACTGGTTGTGTGTGGTGTGGTTCTTGGACTTGGCCATGGCTGGACAGTAATCGGCGGCTCCCGAAGCGCCTGCGACCGGAAGAGAGCAAGTTCAGGTCTTTTTATCTAAAAATCATGAAACCGCCACTGGGAGACTGAGACAGGAAGAGCATTGGGAGTGAAGGGGTCAGATTTGATCGTGACCATCCTAGAGAGGATCCTGGGAGCAGGAGGATCCCAGCTGGCAGTTTAGCTACTGTGGCAGTGTGAGAAGGTGGCAGCAGAGACCAAGGAGGGAGTCCCTGGGATAAAGAGGGAAATGGAAGGGTGTGTGGGGTCTGGTGGGCTGGACATGGGAGAGAAGGAAAGTGAGCATCGAGAAAGACTCTCCCAGTCCTGGCTGACACTGCGATGAGGAGGCAGACATCAGGAGAGGACTTCGAGGGATGAGGGAGAGTATGGAAGTCAATATTGTCATCTTGTCTAGGATCACCTAGGAGAGAAACCTCAGGGCATGCCTGCGAGGGGAGTTCTAGACGGCATTAACTGACATGGAAGCCCCACCTTAACTGTGGGTGTGTCCTTCCATGGGCTGGACTGAATCAGAAGGAAGCTGAGCATCCGGTCATCACTGTACTCCCTGACAGCAGATGTAACACAACAAACTTGCCCACTATCATGGACTGTGCTCTCAGACTGTGAGCCAAAATGAACTCACCCTTCCTTAAGTTGCCTTGGTCGGACTATGCAGTCATAGCAGTGAGAAAAATAATTGACACGTAGTGGCACCTGGGAGGCAGAGGCAGGCAGATCTCTGTGGACTGGAGACTAACCTGGTCTACACAGGAAGTTTCAAGATAGCCAGGGCTACGCAGTGAGACCCTGTCTCAAAGAGAGGGGAACATGGTCACGCAATATGGATACCAGCCCAGGTTTAGGATGCCCGAGAGGCCTCTGTGACCATCAGGTAGACACCCTAAGGGACAAAGAGCTATGGGGTGGAGTTGGAGAAGGCGGGGATATGGCTATGAATAAGAGGGTCAGCCATTGGTACGACCATGATGAAGCTGGGGAACGGCCTCAGCCCAGTGAGGTTTGTTAGGAGCATGTCCCATCAAAGGGAGAGACCGCAATTCACTTAGACACCCTCTCGCCATTGGCTGTCGGAGTTACTTCTGTCTTTTGACATTATAAAATAGCTCAACAATGAGCATCTTTGTCCCGTTTATAGCCCTTTCCGTATTCTAGGTTAATTTTCTAAGGAGTCTACATCACTAACATGGTTAGCAATGAATATCTGCTAGGAGCTTGAATACATCATGTTCATTCTTCTGAAAATGGAATAGAAATTCTTTCTAGATTGCCCATTATCCGTGGTGGCCCGTGTAGCTGCTGTCTTCTGCTGTCTGACTGATTTATGAAGTCTTCCCTAACTGGCCACAGGAACCTCCTTCCTCAGAATTCTAATGGTTATTGCTGGAGACACTCATTCTGACCTTGTCCTACAGAAGCCTGGTATCTTAGAATACACACACGCATGTGCACACACACACACACACACACACACAAGGATATTTGCCTTCTCATAAGGACACGGAACTGGGAACAAGTTTTGTGCTTTGTGTTTCATGTGTGTGCATGGATGTAGAAGCCAGAGGACAACCTCAGGCATCTTTCCTCAAGCAATGACCCTCTTGCTTTAAAGATGGTCTCTCCCTGGCCTGGAACTCACAACACAGGTAGGCTAGCAGGTCAACATGGTCAAAGATCCCTTTGTTTCTCTCTCCCCAGTCCTGGGATTACAAAAGTGTACCATATGCCCAGCTTTGTTTTAGTCTATTTGTGTGTGTGTGTGTGTGTGCATGCGCACATGTGCGTGCATGTGTAAATGGTATATATGTGTGTATACATGTTTTGCACATGTCTGAACACATGTGTGTTTGCATGCACGAGTACATGTCAAGGCCAAAAGTTAATGTCTCATTCACCTTCAGTTGCTCTTCCACCTTATTCATCGAGGAAGAGTCTGTCAGTCAAACCCAGAGCTTGCTAATATGGCTACTCTTGATAGCCGGCTTTCTCTGAAGACTCCCCTATCTCCTCCACCTTCCAAAGTGAGAATTACAGGCAGGCTGCCACACCTACTTAGCATTTTACTTGGGTTCTCACACTTGGGAGGCAGATGTATTAACCACTAAGCCATCTGCCCAGCCTACCATCTGGCTTTTTTTTTAATGTGTATGGGTAATATTTTATGTGTTTGCCTGGTGATCCCAGAGGTTGAAAAGGGTTTCAGATCCCCTAGAACTGACCTGTGAGTCACCATGTGTGTTCTGGGAATCGAATCTTAGTCCTTTGGAAGAGCAGCCAGTGCTCTTAACCACTGATCCATCTCTCCATTCCCCTGAATTTTTTAATGTGGCTTCTGGGGATTTAACTCAGATCCTTCTGCATTTTACCAATGAAGCCATCTCCCCAGCCCCTTCCCTGCATTTCTGGAATCCCCTTCAGAGATCAGTAAAACCCTGACAAGGTTTATGTGTACTGACTACTTAGAGTAGTTAAGCAAGAGGCATTAGTATTCTGAGACCCCTGCTATAAACCTAGGTCTGCCTGGGAGCTTCAGACACAAAGAGTTTCATGCCTTGTTCTTCATAGATATCAGGGTGAGGACAACAACCAACATCCCCCGCCCCGCCCCCTGCATCTCAGTACAGACACATTTAGTTTTTATTCACTTTAAGTCCAAGCAGGAAACTCTGCCATCATTGATCCAGACACACGTGTCATTTATGCCTGTGGCTCCACTGCCTTCGGCACACAGCTTCAGAAATTGCTACAACCCTCTTTCTCAAGCCAGAGGGGAAAGAGATGGCTTGACACACTGGAGTGGCCCTTAGGGGCCAGGCCTGGAGGTGGCACACAATTCCATATCCCACTAGCCAGCATTCAGTTCTGTATGCATCACTGTAAGGGACTATGGGGAATAGTCAGGCTGGACATGAGGCTAGAAGGGAAGCAAGTTTGGGTAACCCACAGTAAGGGAAGGGGGTCTGAGTGATCCAGTCTCTCTCTCTCTTTCTCTCAAGCCAAAGATAAGATGTTGGATGAGTAGCCTGATGGTGCTTAGCCTGTAATCCAGAGCTGGGACTCGATCCCTGGCTCATCTAAGCCAGAGTCTTCGTTCTGCCTGCTGTACATATTACTAGCTGGTGACCCTCATCAGCCTTGCCCTGATTTAAATTGCCCCAGCCTGTTGATTAATTCCATGTTTAACCCATCTTCAGACTCGGTGATCATGTCAGGTGCTCCCCCTCTGAGCCCCGGCTGTGGTTTACAGGTGTGTCCTCCATTCCTGGGGAGCTCGCCTTCAAGTCCATCAGCTCATTGACATGCCCTTGCACTACACCGGCGCATGTTCCTGTTCTAAAGCCTATGCCTTATGAACTTGACATATTCGGATGCTATGGCTTTTATCTGGAGTAAATTAAAGCTCTTAAAATGTCAGAATGTTTTCAATTCATTTGACATTCTCACCATAGGTCAAACTGCCTCTGAAACAGATGTGTCTAAACGGCTGTCTACCCTTATCGCTCAGAAAGGTGTTTCAGGAAGTTTGGGAGGCACGGGTGTGTACCGATCTGAGACCTGTCAACATCAGTCATTCTGGCTGAATCTATTCCCTTATAAACATTTGACATCCCTTCCCTATGCTACAGATTGGTTAACTGGAATCTCCAAGGGAACTTGGGGAGTCACTATCAGTTTCTATTGCTTTGTAAGCACAGACCCTGGAATACTCTTATTGCATCTTATTTATTCATTTTCCGTGCAGTTTGAGGTAGCTGGCCAGAGGACAGCTCACAGCAGTCAGTTCTCTTTCCGTACATGGTTCCCAGGAACTGAACTGAAGTCATCCGGCTTGGCAGCAGGCACTTTACCAGCCGAGCCATCTCACCTGGTTCAACCCTGAGACCTTTCAGTTGGGGAAAAGCAATGGCTTTTGGTAATCATGGTGGCAGTCACCCATGATGGAAGTTGAAGGTGCCAATGCATAAACCAAGTTTCCCAACCTTACAAAGCATGTTTCACTGGGCAAAGAACAAATGCACAAACAGACATATAATGTATCCCATGACGTGTGCTCTGATAGAAAAGGGAGACATGAGCATGCATAGAGGTGACGCAGGGAGATGCTGGGTCCTTGGGTGCCAGGGACAGTCACTGTGATGCTGAGCAAAGACTAGAAGATGGAGCAAGTGGACTGTGAGTAGGAGGAAGGCTTCCAGGAGAGATTTGAACCGAGAGTGTGCTTGGCACTTTGAAAAACAGAAAACACAACTAAGGGAGTGAGAAAAGACAGGCTGGAACTGAGGACCGGCTGGACTGGGGCTTCCAGCTTCCAAGAAGCAGGTTGGCTCCTATCAGGAGACCTGAGGGATGAAGATAACTTGAAAAGAGCGAAAATCAGTTGGTCCTTGAAGATGTGGAGGATATGAGGAAGAGGATGAAGGGGCTGAGGAAGCTGAGCCAGAGAGGTGGGAGGAGGCCAAAGGAAGGGAGAGGAAAACCAAAGAGGAAGTCAGTGGAACATGTGATGTCACCATTTATTCAGATAAGGACAAGGAACTGGTCATTGGATGGGGGCAAGCAGGAGTCTCTAGTATTTGCAACTGAGCCACGAATACCAGAGATGAAAGACCGAGGAAACAGAGCTTGGGAAAGATGCACAGAGGATGGGAGGAGAGAAAAGTACCCTGCCTCTCTCATCCTCAGGCCTAGCATAGGGGACCCCCAACCAGTGAAGACATGGAAACTGGACTTCACCATAAGTGCAAGCCCCCCAAAGCTCCCAACTGTCACTTCAGGGCTAGTCTATGTCTCATAGAGGTCACCCAGGGCAACTGACACAAAACGAATTTCTACTTTTAAAAGAATCTCGAAAAATAGGTCACCCTGCTTCTGTCGGAACAGCATCTGAATCATTCCAGCAACGAGTGTCTCTCCCGTGGGTTTCTAATTGCAGAAGCTCCATAGCCCACCTCTGCACACGACTGCACAGTGCAACGTGTTCTGTAAGGGAGAGCTGCCTTCCGCTACTCTGCT